AAAATGTTAAAAGGTTTCAATAAAGGTCACTGATATGCTTCTGATCATATGCAAGGAAAACATATTTAGGGAGATTGAAAGGAAAATGGTTCTTTTACTGCAATGTAATTAAATCTGCATGTATGTTTCAATATGCACTTGTCCAAAATTAAATAGAGCAAGAAAAAGTCTAACATTTTCCTGCCAAACACTTGAATTCGAAGACTACACAACATACATTTTTGGGGGGGCTTTCATGACTCACAGTTTATCGCAACAAAGTCTATCATGAATGTATGAATTCAAAGTATATATTTATAAATAATGAAATAGTCGTGAAGACTTCGCGCCATATCAGTTTTGAATTCCCGCCACCCACAACTGAGTATAGTAAATTGCCCCATTTTGAAATCGCGGTTGCCCGTCGGATTGGCGAGCTATTTCTGGTTTTAAAGCATCAAAAGATAGAACAACTCTTCCTGAATTCGATACTGTGATTTATTTTGACTTCTCACAAAAAAAATTGATATAGCTCCGGCATAATATCAAAGTCACTTTCGTGATTTAAGCTCTGATTAAAAAAAGGCCAAATACAATCGGCCATTGACGTGACTAAAACACGATACAAAAATATTTTAAAAATAAGAATAATTAAATTCGATACACGATTAATACATTTATAAAAAGTTACCTTCGAAAAAATAAATTTTTCAGAGAGAAAAGACGAAATGAAAATCAACAATATTTCAGAACACAGTAAAAATTACCTCACTTTCAAATCGCGATTACTCCGTCAGTTTGGCGAGCTACTTTTGGTTTTAAAGTATCATAAGATAGAACAACTCTTCCTGAATTCGATGCTGTGATTTATTTTGACTTTTCACGAAAAAAAGTGATATAGCTTCTGCATAATATCAAAGCCACTTTCGTGATTTGTACTCTGACCCGTAAAAAGGGTTAATACAATACGCGATTAGCATCACTAAAACGCAATATAGAAATTTTAAAAAATAAAAATAAAAAATTCGATATACAATTAATATATTTACTGAAATCTAAGCTTTGAAAATAGAAAATTTTCAGAGAAATAATCAAGATAACCATCCACAATTTTTCACAATCCGTGGTCGCGAATTTCAATTTTGAAAATAATGAACCGCAGTGCATTGTGGGAAGACCCTCATTCCTCCTCTGGGCGAGGGGTTGCTGCATGCATGTATTTCTAGTTGATAGTTCTTGTTTGTAGTTCTTACATTCTTCGCATGTTGAATGTCTCGAGTTAATTACGGCTTCGTCTTCCGTAGTGTCATCAACCGGCACGTGTTTGCTCAAATTTCGTTCGTTCGTCTCGTTATAAACAGTGGCGTAGCTCTTGAGGGTGGTTAGCAGCTGATTGTCCTCGTTGTCTTGTATTATCGAAAGTTTGTTCTCCGTTGGCCCATGCCATTTCAAATAAAACTCGAGATTACTGAATTGAATAGTTCCGCTTCTCGGCGATGAAGGTAGGGATCGCGACCAGAAGTCGGTTACGCATTGGAACAGCTTCAATTTCCAGTTAATATTTTCTCAAATGTGCTACCTTCAGCATGTTATTATGCAGAAGAGAGCAAACAGACCATTTTAAAATTAATCTTTGAAAACAAAGTAGATATCAATCTACAAAATGAGTGTATTTTCGAAACCTGAAGTGCCATAGCTATTTTGTTACAAAGCATCAAAGTTTGGGCATATTTGCAATTTCAACACCATTAAAATCATGCGGCATGCATGCATGTACTGACCTACCCGTCCCATTTCAACCGATTTTCTAAACATGAGCCCGACCTGAATTCAGGTTTAAAATATCACCGCCTTAAAGTTTAAAGCATGACGATTCTTCTAAACTATGTTGTTCTTCAACTTTTTGAGCAGATGACTTTGTATTTGAAGTCAATTTTGAAAAGCAAGATACGACTCAATTTAACGTAAAATGTCTGCAACGACAGGTATGTACATAAGCTATATGTTTTGAGGTTTCTTTTGATATATATATATATATATTATATATTTTATATTCAGATCACTATATTTGTAAATACTCTTACTTTGTCTTTGACAAGATTGAACAAGCTTTAACTATTTTTATATAATAATTAATATTGTTAAACTAGGGGCCTTTGAATAAAAGCCTGATAGGGTTTCATAAAGGTTCCTAGCCCCTAATGTTTGTAAAAATATAGATTGTAAATATATTTAGCTTTATATGGGCAAATAAAAAAAATATTCAAAATATAATTTGTTTTGTTTAACGATCAAGCTCACTTACGGAAATCCATTTGAAATTAGATAATTTTGCAAGTTCGCCAATGGCGTGTGCGGACATGTGCTCATGAAACTTTCGAAATTGGGATGAAGAAAACCGATTGCCCTGCTTGAAAATGATGAAAAACCTGAGTGATAGAAAGGTAATCATAAAGTACGTTATCGTTTATTTAATAAAATCATTGAAACAACCTGTAGTTTGAAGGACAACCAGAAGGAAAGGGTGAAAAGAAGCCTTCATGTGCTTGCAAAGCCCTTATCAACACCTCTCTCAACCAAGACATAGCACCAACAATGTGGAAGAATGCTAAAGTTATCCCCTTGTTCAAAGGTGGTAGTCATTTGGAGATGGATATTTACAGACCAATATCAATTTTACCTGTGCTGTCTAAAGTAATGGAAAAAGCGGTTAATGTTCAGTCAAAACAATATCTTGCCAACAATGATGTGATATGCAATTTTCAGTGTGGTTTTCGGAGATATCACTCAACAGAATCTGCAGCACTCTATTTATCGGATAGTATCAGACGTAACACAATTAAACGTTGTATTACTGGTGCACTGTTTAATAGTGTTTATAGATCTGAGAAAAGCATTCGACTCAGCAGATCACAACCTCCTGCTTGCCAAATTGTATGCTTATAATATTACTGGTGCCGAATGGTAATGGTTACGTTGTTATGTTGATGATAGGATGCAGTGTGTCCAGTACCAAAATTGTGCGTCTGAAGGTCTTGCGGTGGAATCAGGAGTGCCACAGGTTCGATCCTTGGTCCGCTTCTATTTACGTTATTTATAAACGATTTACCTAATGTTTTGGAGCATGGGAAGATTTTGTTATAATATTCAGATGATACTGTTCATTCATCTGAAACAGTCACTGAAGCTGAGGATATTCTTTCGGCCAAAATAATGTGTGTTCAACGATGGCTTACTGCAAATAAGTTGATACTTCATACGGGTAAGACAAGAGTTGGTTATATCCGCTTTTATGAACTTTTTTAAAGATTCCAGATTCCCCTTCCACAATAAATCATCTTCACGGATACATAATAAAGTAGGTTTGGTGATTTCTGAATCTGTAACATTGTTTGTGTCTTGAGAAAGGTTTTCGTTTGTATCTTGAACATCCTCTGTCGCCATGTTGATAGTGTGAAATTTCTGGCAAAATATCTCGATGAGTACGTTGCGAGACAACTCCAATTTTATATTAGAAGGATCACCAAGAAATTAGAAATAATTTGATATATAGAAATAATTTGATAATTCGAGAGCCGAAAATGAGTTATGCTGCGCGATGTTTACCTTTAAAAATTGAAGAAAAGATTTACAATTTGTTATGGGAAACGATTTTCCAAGCTTTCTTACATGTATTTTGCTAAATTCCCTCCCTTCTTCAGTCCTGGGGCCGGTTGTATAAAACTCTTAATCACTTTTTTAAGGTGGCTCAAAACAGTTTTTGAAATATGACAAAATCGTGATTTAGATTTAATTTTTTTGAAGAGAGGTTTCTTGTTAGAAGACAAAAATTGTACCACAAAAATTGAGCAAGCTTTCAAGAATTGAAAATTGTTCCCAAAAATGACGTTATTACCGTTGCTATGGTAACAATGACAAGCCAATTTCATTTTAATATAATATACATTGCTATAATATACAAATCTATAGTGTCGCTTGCGAGATTGGGCCACCTATGATATATAGTATATGTTTGGAATGCAAGTTCAATCACAGGGGGAAGAGGGGGTGGGGCTATGAAAATGTATTATATTTAAAGGGGGCATGAAAAAACTATTTTGAAAGAATGAGGGCCATGAAATTTTTACCATGAGTTTAGAAATATCATCCGCTGCCCCCCGGCATTAATAATGACTGCTCCCTTACTTTTTAGTGATATTTAAATTTTAAATTTTCACTAAGAACACCCTGAAGAACACCTTGAATAATTTTGTATTAATGCACAGTAATAAAACACTTAAAATATAGATATTTTTAATATACCGTTTTATATTATTAAAACACTACGAATATTGCTTCTACCGTAGTTCGACTATCTTCTTGTTTTCGAAGTCATATTAATAAACTGGTCTGTGCACGCCAACACTTTCATTTAAATAATTGCAATACAGTGGTTTTCCTTTCAACACGTATTTAAATATTTCTTTGGCTAGACTGTTTCAAGAAAAATTCGTTAACCTACATTCGCGCATTCCCCGTTCCCGTATTTCTCCATTCCCGCATTCCTGTTCCCAATTTTAAAGACAGCCTTTCCCGTTCCCCCGTTCCCCCCATTCCCTGTTCCCCCATTCCCCGTTCCCCCATTCCCCTTTCCCCCATTCCCTGTTCCCCATTCCCCTGTTCCCCAATTCCCGCATTTCCGTTCCCTATTTTAAAGATAGCCATATAAACAACATATAAAACTTCTAGTATAGAGTTATTGTTTGTTACTTCCCGTCAAATTGGGAAAGATCTATCACTTTTGTAATAAAATATGTTGTCAGACGTCCATATTTATAAACAGTCCCATGGCTACCATTCCGGTAAAATGTCGTGATATTCCGTGATATTCCGGCATATTCCGTGATATTCCGCCATATTCCGTGATATTCCGGCATTCCAGGTTTTCACAACGCCCGGCGTCTGACAACATATTTTATTACAAAAGTGATGGATCTTTCCCATTTTGACGGTAAGTAACAAACAATAACTCAATACTGGAAGTCTTATGTGTTGTTTATATCATTGTTACGAGTGGTCACCAAAAATTTTGAATTAATATAATTAATTCCTCTTGAGGTACAGCGTCTTGAAAAATAAAAGTGCTGACGTCAGCATTATTTTCGAACGCCTTCAGAACTGTGTTATACCATGGATTGTAAAATAACAATCCATTTAATAACAACCCGTCCACGCGGTTATTTTACAATTTTTAAAAATTCTTGGTTAAGGTAAGACTTGACTTCTTACCTGATATAAACAAGAATTTAAACATCTTGGCTCAAACTTGCATTTATTTTAGCATTTGATTTTTGCATAAATGGTTGGTGGTATATTAAAAATGGTCAACATTTTGTACCGCTAAGCACTTATCCAAAAATCAAATGCTAAAATAAAGGCGAGTTTGGACCAAGATGTTTAAATTCTTGTTTATATCAGGTAAGAAGTCAAGTCTTAACCTCAACCAAGAATTTTTAATTAAATTCTATGTATAACACAGTTCTGAAGGCGTTCGAAAATAATGCTGACGTCAGCACTTTTATTTTTCAAGACGCTGTAACTCAGGAGGAATTAATCATATTGATTCAAAAGTTTTGGTCAACACTCGTAATAATGATATAAACAACATATAAAACTTCCAGTATAGTGTTCTTGTTTGTTACTTGCCGTCAAAATGGAAACGATTCATCACTTTTGTAATAATATAAAATATGTTGTCAGACGTCCATGTTTATAAACAGTCGCATGGCTACCATCGGAAAATATCGTGATATTCCGGCATATTCCGTGATATTCCGGCATTCCGGGTTTTCACAACGCCCCTCAAATTGAACGTCACAGCTACGCAAGGCCGTATTAAGTCATTAAAACGTAAAAATCCTGCAAAAGCCAGCGTTCACAACATATCATAAGTGACCGTAAATCAGAAAGAGTGGCGTTTGTGCCACCAAACTGCCTGAACATGCATTACAACATCATTGGCATATGTCTCTTGTGATTTAAACAGCATCAGAATAATGAACATGAAGCACTAATAAACTGCCATAGTTATCAAAAGATTTACTTCTTAGGTACAGCACTTTAATCTTCGTTTGAAGAATTTCAACAATGTATGTAAAACTACCTATTATTATTGGAAGTTTGCGGGGAGTACAGACATCCTGTCTGTAGTAGCTACTGAATTTTTTCCCACCCTCTTTCTGAACAAAAAAAATTAAAAACACAATACTTATTAATTAAGCTTCTTGTTATGTAAACATATAGGAGATAAGAAACTTTAGCCTATATACCATCAGTTCTAAACGTACTCTTCTCCTTAAAATTCCAGTAGTGTCTTTATAGGACCATCATGAGGAAACCTTACCTAAAATAACTTTCCAAGAGCGCCTGCTCCCTGACTAACTATACATGTCTGTACATGCAAGCTTGGTCAAAGGAATGACCATTATTCTTTAAATTAATTCATTATTTTGAAACATTTGACTACAGTGCCAGCTTTGGATTTGTTCACGTGCAGGCGCGGATCCAGTGGTTTTGTTGACTGATGCACTAAACCTCGCATTTGTAGGGGGGTCCGGGGGAATCCTCCCCCGGGAAATTTTGAAATCTAGGACCTCGGAAATGCGATTTCCTGCGTTCTGAGGGAGCTTATCTTCGAAGTTCACACATCAAAATCGAAACGTAATTTGCTGGATTTTCGGGAAAAAAACGTAAAAAATCGGCCTTATAGAGTGAGAACTGAGAACAACATAATCATGTGAGTTTTAAAATAAATTGAAAACATTTTTACGC